GATTTAAGGGTATGCACCTGGAATATCCGGACCCTTAATCGGGAAGGTGTCTCTGCCCGGATAGTTGATTTACTCGGGAAAATAAAGACTGACATCACCGCTATCCAAGATATGCGATGAACGGGGCAAGGCAAGGTACACGTGGATCCTCGCGACGTCTACAACAGTTGCCACGTAAAGGAGCGCAAATTCAGTGTTGGATTTGTGGTGGGAGAGAAACTCCGTCGCCGAGTACTGGCGTTCACTCTAGTGGACGATCATCTAGCCACAATTCGCATCAAAGCGAGATTCTTCAACATCTCGCTCATATGCGCCAATGCCCCGATGGAACAGGCATGCAAGGATATTTTTTATGAGCGCTTAAAGAACACATTCGATCGGTGCCCTCGTCACGATATAAAACTCGTGATTGGCGACTTCAATGCCGGGGCAGGCAGGGAAGGGATTTTCCGTGCCACTATTGTAAAACTCATCTTAATAGGTTCACAACTTGAAACGCCAGGTGGCGCTGGAATCGAGTTACTACTAACCATCGTATTTATTATCCGATTTGGCTCATATTCGCGGTATATATTAAGTGGTATTGCCGGATATTAATAAAACGCTTTGGCTTGTCAGCTAATGATGAACTCACTAAAACTATTGTTAAACATTATTAAAGCTCATTGCGATCGTATGATCTTAATAACGGCAATGGGTAAAAATGCAAAGTATATAAAAAGGCTTAAATTAATAAGAGATTAGGCAAAATACATGATGTGCTTTAACTGTAAGATGGATAAGCTAAACAAGATTTAAGTCAATAAGAAGGCAGGTTGAATTTAGTGAATTGATACTCTATCGATTGTGCTCGATTATTGATTATGCTGATTTGTGGCTATCGCCACAGTACTCCCCTTTTTTATGATTAAAGTAATCTTGAAAAAAAAAAATGAATTGACTATTAATGTTATGAATGGTACTAAATTAAGACATTTTCATATTTATGCGTTGTTCGTAAGGTTTGACTGATTTTCTAATGCAAATAATCTCCTCATTGCATGCTTCATACACGGGTTTGAGCCTATCCACTGAGATTGCTGTTGGAGATCGTTTAAAATCAATAATGAAATACTTGTCATGTCGACTTATGACAGCATACGGTCCCTCGTACGAACGACGGCCTTATAAGGTCGTTGCGGACTAAGAAATGTGTGCATGTTTGGAGGTTTCTGTAAAGAAAGACAATTTTTTTTTCCGTGGCTTAACATTTTAGCCGGTGCCAACGTATTAAAATGATTTTTTAGGATACTTAACAAATTCTGCTTCGAGATTCGTCTCTGTGATGGCGTAAGGAGTTCACCAGGTAGGCGTATGGGTTCGTCGTAGACCAGTTCAGCCGGTGTTTAAGCAAGATCTTCTTTCCAGGCAGCTCATAAACCTAGCAAAACTGCTGGTATTGCGTCATGCTACGACTGATTGTGGCACAAGAGTTCTGCTTTTAGTTGGCGGTGAAAACGCTCCACAAGTCCATTCGCTTGCGGATGAAAAGCTTTCGTACGTAAATGCTGTATGCCAAATAACTCATCTAAAGTTCTGAATAACATTGATTCAAATTTTCCGCCTTGATCCGAGCTGATTCGTCCAGGTATGCCGTATCGCGAAATCCAGTGATGGATTAAGATGCGTGCTACCACTTCGGTTGATCCATTTTCTACCGGGATTGCTTCTGGGAAGCGTGTGAACCGATAAAGTATGGTGAGACAACGGTTGAAGCCTTTCGCCACTGGCAGTGTTACGAGGTCGATGTGAACGTGCTCGAATCGCACGGAAGGTGGTTGAAAATTTGCGATTGGGGATGATACCTGCCAGTCTTTGTTAATATACAGCCAAACGTACCGCTTTACTACCAATTTCTGCGATGCTCGAACGCCAGGATGTGCGAGTGAATGCAAGGAATCAAAAACCTTTTTTCTAAGCAGCGCCGGAACATATGGGCGCACTGATCCTATCGCGATGTCACAATAAACAGCAGGTCCGTTGTCGAGATGAATGATCTTTAGGTTTAGAGATGTACTGTTGCGCAAAAGTAGTTGTAGTTCTCTATCAACTTTTTGAGCCTCAGCAAGCTCACGCGGCGTGATGGGTATCAGCGACTATGTTGTCCCTTCCCAATATGTGGCGAATATCCGCTGTAAATTTACCAATGAATTGCCACGGCGACGCGCGTTCTGTGCGTTGTTGGAACGCGTGTTTTAGCGGTTTGTGGTCAGTAAAAATCGTAATGTTTCGTAATTCGAAAATGTGGCGGAAATGATTGACAGCGTCGTCCTTGCTTTACGGCGACTAAACATAATAAAGACAGTTCTTGATAAATGCCAACAAATACAATTGTAAGACATCTAAGATATTTCGTCTGAAATAAGTCTACGTATATTGGAGTTTCCACCAACTGTACTATACAGATTCAAGGACGATTCACCATAGGCCCAGATCATTGTTGCCAAGAAGTTCTTTCTTCACGGACATAACTCTTTCATTATTTTAATAAAGATGGCCATCTGACGACCACAAAACCAAACGTGAACGTGAATTGTTGGTAAAAACGTTGGACCAAATGTTTAAATAAAAACTTAGTTTTGGGTGGGACGAAGTATGCCGGGTCTGCTAGTAATAACATAAAAACAGATTTGGTTTTTGTTAACTCGTAACTTCAATTCCAGTTCTGCTTAAATACAAAAATTTAAAACCAAATGTTTGCCTCTACGGAAAGGCATTGATGTTATTGAAGAGATTAAAAATAATTGACTCAAATGGAGAATAACGAATATTTGAAAGCAATTAAATTCAGTCTTGAAAATAAAGCAAGGATTCATATCTTAGTGTAGTATAATCCTCATTATTTTTAATAATAGTAAAAAAGTGACAACTAAATTGATGCATTAACACCACTGGAAATATGAAAACTTCGAAGTCCGTCCAATCCTTGAAATAAACTGAATAAAAAACAAAGCATTAAACTGTACTTACATTTATTGTTGTTTTTCGAGCATATTTGGAAGCATATTTACTAATGTTTTGATTGAATTGATTTTTTCCTGCTTATTTCCTTCGGCCCTGCTTATCACACATCAGTGTTGCCGTTTTAGTCCTTTGGTGGCTAGATTTAGCTACCACATACTTTTTTGGCCACATAAATTCAAAATTGCCCCTAGCCCTTTTTTAGCCCTTTGGAGAATTTATTCATGCTTGGCATGAAAAAGTTGTATATGCTTAATTTGATCTAATTTTTTTTCATTTATGTAATAGATGAATTTTTAAACTAAGAAAGACTGATATATATACATATATGTATTGTATGTTCCTTACGTTTTTATACATGCATACTGTAAAAGTGTTAGGGCTGTTAGCTTATCTATTAACGATTTAATTATAGTTTAAAATAGATAAGTTTACGGCCCTTAATATGCTTAATTTGTTAAATGGCCGATCAAGTCGATTGACCGAGAATGTTCTCGTGGTGTGATTGTACCCGCTGCTGGTGCGACTTCAAAAAGTATTTGAAAATTTTATGATTGTACCACAATGCTGGAGTCGAGAGTGGTCAAATAGCTCAATTTTCTAAGTAAAAATTGTTTTGGCGGAAATTTCTTGCACTATATGAGTCAAAGCCGTGTTTGTGGAACATTAAGTTCACGATATTGCAGTTGTGAACTAAAAAAAAAGAATGTTTAACAGAATGTTTAATGAATGTT